TATACGTTACATTTGATTTATTTTTTATCTTTTATTCCCCCCTGCATCAGGACCAAGCCTACAGACAATCGACAGAGTAAGTTCAAATGACATTTTATTTAACTTCTGGCGGACTATTCTGTTTTTTTGCAAGCTAATTCCCAGCAACACGAGTGTGTAAATACTAGTGTGTAAATACTAGTGTGTAAATACTAGTGTGTAAAAACTAGTGTGTAAAAACTAGTGTTGCTAAAAGCAGCTACACACGCATGACTAAGTCACTTTGGATAAAAGCGTCTGCTAAATGGCATATTATTGTTAGACCAAAAGTGCTGTCGACCGACGACTACAGGGGGCTTTACAACTAAATATAAATATCCCGCATGTGCCTATACAATAATATTGTCTTATTCTTCTGGGCCCGTATTCATAAATCATCTCCGAGTATGAGTCCTGATCTAGGATCAGGTCCCCCCTGTCCATATAGTCTTACCCTGATCTGGGATCAGATCCCCCCTGTCCATATAGTCTTACCCTGATCTAGGATCAGATCCCCCCTGTCCATATAGTCTTACCCTGATCTAGGATCAGGTCCCCCCTGTCCATATAGTCTTACCCTGATCTAGGATCAGGTCCCCCCTGTCCATATAGTCTTACCCTGATCTAGGATCAGGTCCCCCCTGTCCATATAGTCTTACCCTGATCTAGGATCAGATCCCCCCTGTCCATATAGTCTTACCCTGATCTGGGATCAGATCCCCCCTGTCCATATAGTCTTACCCTGATCTGGGATCAGATCCCCCTGTCCATATAGTCTTACCCTGATCTGGGATCAGGTCCCCCCTGTCCATATAGTCTTACCCTGATCTGGGATCAGATCCCCCCTGTCCATATAGTCTTACCCTGATCTAGGATCAGGTCCCCCCCTGTCCATATAGTCTTACCCTGATCTGGGATCAGATCCCCCCTGTCCATATAGTCTTACCCTGATCTGGGATCAGATCCCCCCTGTCCATATAGTCTTACCCTGATCTGGGATCAGGTCCCCCCTGTCCATATAGTCTTACCCTGATCTGGGATCAGATCCCCCCTGTCCATATAGTCTTACTCATTATAATCTAAAAGGCTAAACTGATCGTAGATCAGCAATACTACTCTGAGATGCTTTATGAATACAGACCCTGATTTGTTGTTGTTTTGTTCTTGTAAATATGATAAACTGCTCTGTAATGGGGTCTTAGTGGTTTTAATCAGTGGACAAAGTAATCTATCTCAAGACAAGCTTCTGAAGAAAATGTTTTTAATTTGAAGTTTTTGCCACCTGTGTTTTACAGTATGTGTTCTGCATGTGTTTGAACCATCTGAGCCTTATAAAGTGGTTTCATCTGACCAAGCAATGTTTGTTGATGACTGATCGTTTTTTAGCCTCTTTTCCTGGGTCCTCTTTTCCTGGGTCCTCTTTTCCTGGGTCCTCTTTTCCTGGGTCCTCTTTTCCTGGGTCATCTTTTCTGGGGTTTCAATCTGGGGCTCATCTTTCCTTCCTCCCTTCCTTGAAGTAATAATCCCTGATTAGAATGTCTAAATGGCTGGAAAGGTGAAAGGTCATCTGGTGGAGCCCTTGCATACACCTTCTTCTTGGGGAAATGGGAAAAACAACACACAGCCTGAGAGGACGTTACTGCTTCTGACAGTACTTCATGCAGCCCCTCACGCCCAAGAATCATTCGGCTGCAGCTACAACCATAGCGATCCTTCCTGAGTTCTTATCCAGTCCTGTACTGCAGTTTATCACCATAGCAATAAATGGCAAAAATTCCACCTTTTTCATTCTAAGGGTATTTGTATCCTGCGTCTGGCCAACGGTTACCCGCAGCAATGGACAGCGATGTCTCCATGGCAGCCAGACCAGATGTCTCCATGGCAGCCAGACCAGATGTCTCCATGGCAGCCAGACCAGATGTCTCCATGGCAGCCAGACCAGATGTCTCCATGGCAGCCAGACCAGATGTCTCCATGGCAGCCAGACCAGATGTCTCCATGGCAGCCAGACCCGATGTATCCATGGCAGCCAGACCAGATGTCTCCATGGCAGCCAGACCAGATGTCTCCATGGCAGCCAGACCAGATGTCTCCATGGCAGCCAGACCAGATGTCTCCATGGCAGCCAGACCAGATGTCTCCATGGCAGCCAGACCAGATGTCTCCATGGCAGCCAGACCACTTCCGCTGCTTCAGCAGAACAGCTCTTATCTTACAATCTCTGGTTCTTTAACCCTTACTGGGCTTTCAGGGAACTCATGTATAAAAGTCCCCCACAAATCTACAGTTGAGACCTTCAATGTCATCTTCTTCCGCAAAAGAATCACTCATGTCCATCTCTCTGCAAACATTCATCACATGTCCAAATTCTTTGCAATTGGAACCCTCCAACACTATGGGGATATATGCCCTCACAGGGAACCTCATATATCGTATCTTGACATGTGTAGGGAGCACTTGCATACACCTGTCCAATCAGTGATTACTTAAAGGAAAGGAGGAAGGCAGAGTGCACTTTGAAATAATTGGAATGGGGCCTGTGATTTCAACATGGCAGGAATGTTTGAAGTGAATGGAACATTTTATTTATTTATTTTACCTTTATTTAACTAGGCAAGTCAGTTAAGAACAAATTTTTATGTACAATGACGGCCTACACCGGCCAAACCCGGACGACGCTGGGCCAATTGTGCGCCGCCCTATGGGATGATGACTGTAAGTTTTGTTTACCCCATATGTAACTCTGTGTTGTTGTTTTTATCACACTGCTTTGCTTTATCTTGGCCAGGTCGCAGTTGTAAATGAGAACTTGTTCTCAACTGGCTTACCTGGTTAAATAAAGGTGAAATAAAAAATGATGTCTGGATAACAGGACTGTCACCGTACAGTAGATGGTGGAGAGCCCCTTTAGGCTTGAGAGGGTTTGCTGACCATATTTCTAAGGTAGCTTATATGGCCACAACTAAATAAAGCTTTCTGTTATGCAGAGTGTGTTTGGCCTTGTTTAAAGACAGGGAGGGAAAGGCAATCCTTTAGGTCATAAATATCTTTACGTGAATTAAATGTCTGACTTCAAGTGGAACCCGGGGTGCATCCAAAATGGCCCCCTATTCCCTATATAGTGTACTAGGGCCCAGAGTGCTCTGATCAAAAGTAGTGCACTATATAGGGAATAATAGGGTGCTATTCGGGACACAGTAATGATGAAGGGTTGGTTGTGTGAGGACCAGTTGATGACTGCTATGATGCAGTGACGGATACAGTCAGGGAAGTATGTCTCCTCTTCTGAAGAAAGGGTCTAAACACCCACTGGACACAGTTTTGTAGAATCAACGTTGTTTCCACGTCAGTGCCCAGTGGGTTCTTACAGTATAACGTTGTTTCCACGTCAGTGCCCAGTGGGTTCTTACAGTATATGGACACCCTTCAAATTAGTGGATTCGGCCATTTCAGCCACACCTTCTATATAATCAAGCACACCGCCGTGCAATCTCCATAGACAAACATTGGCAGTAGAATGGCCTTACTGAAGAGCTCAGTTACTTTCAACATGGCACCGTCATAGGATGCCACCTTTCCAACAAGTCAGTTCGTCAAATTTCTGCCCTGCTAGAGCTGCCCCGGTCAACTGTAAGTGCTGTTATTGTGAAGTGGAAACGTCTAGGATCAACAACGGCTCAGTCGTGAAGTGGTAGGCCAGACAAGCTCACAGAACAGGACCGCTGAGTGTTCAAGCACGTAAAACTTGTCTGTCCTCGGTTGCAACACTCACTACCTAGTTCCAAACTGCCTTTGGAAGCAACATCAGCACAATAACTGTTAGTCGGGAGCTTTATGAAATGGGTTTCCATGGCCGCACACAAGCCTAAGATCACCATGCGCAACAGTTGGAGGGGTGTAAAGCTTGCCGCCATTGGACTCTGGAGCAGTGGAAACACGTTCTCTAGAGTGATGAATCACACTTCACCATCTGGCAGTGAGACGGACAAATCTGGGTTTGGCGGATGCCAGGAAAATGCTACCTGCCCCAATGCATAGTGCCAACTGTAAAGTTTGGTGGAGGAGGAATAATGGTCTGGGGCTGTTTTTCAAGGTTCGGGCTAGGCCCCTTAGTTCCATTGAAGGGAAATCTTAACAATACAGCATACAATGACATTCTAGATGATTCTTTGCTTCCAACTTTGTGGCAACAGTTTGGGGAAGGCCCTTTCCTGTTTCAGCATGACAATGCCCCTGTGCACAAAGCGAGGTCCATACAGAAATGGTTTGTCGAGATTGGTGTGGAAGAACTTGACTGGCCTGCACAGAGCCCTGAACTCAACCCCATCAAACACCTTTGGGATGAATTTGAATGCCGACTGCGAGCCAGGCCAAATCGCTCAACCTCACTGATGCTCTTGTGTCCCTGCAGCAATGTTCCAACATCTAGTGGAAAGCCTTCCCAGAAGAGAGGAGGCTGTTATAGCAGCAAAAGGGGGACAAACTCCATATTAATGCCCATGATTTTGGAATGAGATGTTCGACGAGTAGGTGTCCACATACTTTTGGCCATGTAGTGTATTTCCTCTGCTTTTAGTTCAATAATGTCAAACCTCACTATGGATCTATCCGATGAAAAGACATATGCCTACCACTGACCTACCACTGACCTACCACTGACCTACCACTGACCTACCACTGACCTACCACTGACCTTCCACTGACCTACCACTGACCTACCACTGACCTACCGCTGACCTACCGCTGACCTACCACTGACCTACCACTGACCTACCACTGACCTACCACTGACCTACCACTGACCTACCACTGACCTACCACTGACCTACCACTGACCTACCACTGACCTACCGCTGACCTACCACTGACTTCCACTGACCTACCGCTGACCTACCACTGACCTTCCACTGACCTACCACTGACCTACCGCTGACCTACCGCTGACCTACCACTGACCTACCACTGAACATCAATGAATATCAATGAATATCAATGCAGCATCTGAGGACCTCATCAATGGTCTGGAGGAGTACATAGCAGAGGGCTTTGCCACAGTGACAGTGAGAGAGGGAGTGGACATCATTCAGACCAACATCTCTTTCCTTAGACAGCAGTTCACCCGCATGGCCACACCCTACGCTGCACAGACCGTCTGCTGCTGCACCCAGGGTCTGGCTCTCAACACCCTACGCTGCACAGACCGTCTGCTGCTGCACCCAGGGTCTGGCTCTCACACCCTACGCTGCACAGACCGTCTGCTGCTGCACCCAGGGTCTGGCTCTCAACACCCTACGCTGCACAGACCGTCTGCTGCTGCAACCCAGGGTCTGGCTCTCAACACCCTACGCTGCACAGACCGTCTGCTGCTGCACCCAGGGTCTGGCTCTCAACACCCTACGCTGCACAGACCGTCTGCTGCTGCACCCAGGGTCTGGCTCTCAACACCCTACGCTGCACAGACCGTCTGCTGCTGCACCCAGGGTCTGGCTCTCAACCTGTACTGTCTCCGAGGGGAACAGAGAGCTCTCACCACACGTTTGGCCCCCGTCTGCTGCTGCACCCAGGGTCTGGCTCTCAACCTGTACTGTCTCCGAGGGGAACAGAGAGCTCTCACCACACGTTTGGCCCCCCGTCTGCTGCTGCACCCAGGGTCTGGCTCTCAACCTGTACTGTCTCCGAGGGAACAGAGAGCTCTCACCACACGTTTGGCCCCCGTCTGCTGCTGCACCCAGGGTCTGGCTCTCAACCTGTACTGTCTCCGAGGGGAACAGAGAGCTCTCACCCAAGTCATCAACCACCGCATCACGAGGATGTCAGCAGAGGTCAACCCCAGCCTGGTCAACTGGCTGACCAGTATGATGACCATGAGACTCCATGTCATTCTGGAGCAGTCACTGAGGCACAGGCTGGACAGCAGACAGACACACAGAACATGGAGATGGATGAAGGTCTGTCCCCGGCCCCAGCCACCACAGCAGGGGAGGCCATGGTTTCATCAGGGGACAGACAGGAAGTTGGAGCGTCCCCCAGGGTGGCCACCCCCTCGCAGAGAGCATCATCAGGGGAGACCGGAAGAGCTGCTGCCATGGCAGCAGGAAGAAGGGAGGAGTCTGTAGGAGACGTGGAGCCCTGGGCAGCTACAGTGCCCCTCATCAGACATGACATGAAGACTCAGCCCCCTCTGTCTGACGCATACCTCCACTGGATGCCTGCCAAGAGGAGGAAGACCCACCAGGGTGAGGGCCCCCAAATGTCCCTGTCTGAGGCAGTGAGCCGGGCTGCCCGGGCTGCAGGAGTCATACCTGTCTCTAGCCCAGACAGCCTCCAGGGGGAGCTAGAGGAGCCAGAGCTGCAGGAGGCCTACCAAGAACAGGTGAGGAGTGACATCAAGGAGAGAGTAAGGGATGACCAAGACTTCAGCTCCCAGCATTTCCCCAACACACACCGGGCCTTCTCTCTAGATGACTCTTAAATCTCATTGGTCCTCAGGCCTGTCAAAAACCCCATCTATACAATCAGTTTTCTCCATGGATGACTCCTAATCTGATTGGTCACCACACCTGTCAATAACCACATTTAGCCAATCACTCACAACCATGATGTATCCAGGGGTGTGTTCATCATCATGCATCTCTGACATGACGTCAGGAATCATGTCCGCTCGATTCGTGACATTTCTATCTTCAACATTATGTAATGCGCCCCAGACTCCATTCTGCAACATTCCCTGCAGGTCTCTCATATCCAATGAAGGACAAAGAGCAAAGAAAATACAAGAGACATGACTTGCTTAGACACTGCTTTCTCACTGACCTGCCACGGAAAATGCCACTCACTGAAAACCGAGAAGAGCTTTACAACCTGTCTGTCATCTATCAATGGAAAATGCCAGTCAGTGTGGTATCTTCCCCAAAGCAATGCTTTCTCATTCCAAAAAACGAATTCCTAACTGGTTGTCATCTGTATGTCCTGTTGTCCTTATGAGGCTTTAAGTTGTAAATTAGCACAAATTGTACATTGTATTAAGAATGTGATGTAATAATATTGTAGTGGTAATGCAACAGCTATTTCTTGTTAAGTTAATAAAGTAACGAAACCTTTCCATAGTCTCTTTTATTTATTTTTTGCGTTAAGCTCGGTATCCCAACTATAGGTGAAAGAAGCACTAGCCTGTTTAAACCAGACTGAACTATGCTTACAAGTAAAACAATAGTGAGCGTAGCCGTGGTCCTCTGTAGCTCAATTGGTAGAGCACGGTGCTTGTAACGCCAGGGTAGTGGGTTCGATCCCCGGGACCACCCATACACAAAACATTTATGCACGCATGACTGTAAGTCGCTTTGGATAAAAGCATCTGCTAAATGGCATATTATTATTATATTATAGCATTCAGTCTGGTGTAACAAGGATATATGATTATTTACTTTCAAAATAGAGAGGATGTTATAGGTCTAACTGTAAGTCTCTGGATTGCCTCTCTAACCTGGTGGTCCCTGCACGCACCACCCACTTGGAGTTCCAGGTCTCAGGCAGCCTCTGGAACTGCCGTTCTGCTGCCAACAAGGCAGAGTTCATCTCAGCCTATGCTACCCTCCAGTCCCTCGACTTCTTGGCGCTGACGGAAACATGGATTACCACTGAAAACACTGCTACTCCTACTGCTCTCTCCTCGTCTGACCATGTGTTCTCGCATACCCCGAGAGCATCTGGTCAGCGGGGTGGTGGCACAGGAATCCTCATCTCTCCCAAGTGGACATTCTCTATTTTTCCCCTGACCCATCTATCTATCTCCTCATTTGAATTCCATGCTGTCACAGTCACTAGCCCATTTAAGCTTAACATCCTTGTCATTTATCGCCCTCCAGGTTCCCTTGGAGAGTTCATCAATGAGCTTGATGCCTTGATAAGTTCATTTCCTGAGGATGGCTCACCCCTCACAGTTCTGGGGGACTTCAACCTCCCTACGTCTACCTTTGACTCATTTCTCTCTGCCTCCTTCTTTCCACTCCTCTCCTCTTTTGACCTCATCCTCTCACCGTCCCCCCCTACTCACAAGGCAGGCAATATGCTTGACCTCATCTTTACTAGATGCTGTTCTTCTACTAATCTCACTGCAACTCCCCTCCATGTCTCCGACCACTACTTTGTATCCTTTTCTCTCTCGCTCTCCTCCAACACTACTCACTCTGCCCCTACTCAGATGGTAATGCGCCGTCGCAACCTTCGCTCTCTCTCTCCCGCTACTCTCTCCTCTTCCATCCTATCATCTCCTCCCTCTGCTCAATCCTTCTCCCTCCAATCTCCTGATTCTGCCTCCTCAACCCTCCTCTCCTCCCTTTCTGCATCCTTTGACTCTCTATGTCCCCTATCCTCCCAGCCGGCTCGGTCCTCCCCTCCAGCTCCGTGGCTTGATGACTCATTTGCGAGCTCACAGAACAGGGCTCCGGGCAGCCGAGCGGAAATGGAGGAAAACTAGACTCCCTGCGGACCTGGCATCTTTTCACTCCCTCCTCTCTACATTTTCTTCATCTGTTTCTGCTGCTAAAGCCACTTTCTACCACTCTAAATGTCAAGCCTCTGCCTCTAACCCTAGGAAGCTCTTTGCCACCTTCTCCTCCCTGCTGAATCCTCCTCCCCCTCCCCCCCCTCCTCCCTCTCTGTGGATGACTTCGTCAACCATTTTGAAAAGAAGGTTGACTACATCCGATCCTCGTTTGTTAAGTCAAATGACACCGCTGGTCCTGCTTACACTGCCCTACCCTATGCTTTGACTTCGTTCTCCCCTCTCTCTCCAGATAAAATCTTGCGACTTGTGACGGCCGGCCGCCCAACAACCTGCCCGCTTGACCCTATCCCCTCCTCTCTTCTCCAGACCATCTCCGGTGACCTTCTCCCTTACCTCACCTCGCTGATCAACTCATCCTTGACCGCTGGCTATGTCCCTTCCGTCTTCAAGAGAGCGAGAGTTGCACCCCTTCTCAAAAAACCAACACTCGATACCTCTGATGTCAACAACTACAGACCAGTATCCCTTCTTTCTTTTCTCTCCAAAACTCTTGAGCATGCCGTCTTTAGCCAACTCTCTTGCTATCTCTCTCAGAATGACCTTCTTGATCCAAACCAGTCAGGTTTCAAGACTGGTCATTCAACTGAGACTGCTCTTCTCTGTGTCACAGAGGCTCTCTGCACTGCTAAAGCTAACTCTCTCTCCTCTGCTCTTGTCCTTCTAGAAAAGTCTGCTGCCTTTGATACTGTGAACCATCAGATCCTCCTCTCCACCCTCTCCGAGCTGGGCATCTCCGGCGCGGCTCACTCTTGGATTGCGTCCTACCTGACCGGTCGCTCCTACCAAGTGCCGTGGCGAGAAGCTGTCTCCGCACCACGTACTCTCACCACTGGTGTCCCCCAGGGCTCAGTTCTAGACCCTCTCCTATTCTCGCTATACACCAAGTCACTTGGCTCTGTCATATCCTCACATGGCCTCTCCTATCATTGCTACGCAGACGACACACAACTAATCTTCTCCTTTCCCCCTTCTGATAACCAGGTGGCGAATCGTATCTCTGCATGTCTGGCAGACATATCAGTATGGATGACGGATCACCACCTCAAGCTGAACCTTGGCAAGACGGAGCTGCTCTTCCTCCCGGGGAAGGACTGCCCGTTCCATGATCTTGCCATCACGGTTGACAACTCTGTTGTGTCCTCCTCCCAGAGTGCAAAGAGCCTTGGCGTGACCCTGGACAACACCCTGTCGTTCTCCGCTAACATCAAGGCGGTGACCCGATCCTGTAGGTTCATGCTCTACAACATTCGGAGAGTACGATCCTGCCTTACACAGGAAGCGGCACAGGTCCTAATCCAGGCACTTGTCATCTCCCGTCTAGATTACTGCAACTCGCTGTTGGCTGGGCTCCCTGCCTGTGCCATTAAACCCCTACAACTCATCCAGAATGCCGCAGCCCATCTGGTGTTCAACCTTCCCAAGTTCTCTCACGTCACCCCGCTCCTCCGCACACTCCACTGGCTTCCAGTTGAAGCTCGCATCTGCTACAAGACCATGGTGCTTGCCTACGGAGCTGTGAGGGGAACGGCACCTCCGTACCTTCAGGCTCTGATCAGTCCCTACACCCAAACGAGGGCATTGCGTTCATCCACCTCTGGCCTGCTGGCTCCCCTACCTCTGCTGAAGCACAGTTCCCGCTCAGCCCAGTCAAAACTGTTCACTGCTCTGGCACCCCAATGGTGGAACAAGCTCCCTCACGACGCCAGGACAGCGGAATCACTCACCACCTTCCGGAGACATTTGAAACCCCACCTCTTTAAGGAATACCTGGGATAGGATAAAGTAATCCTAATATGGATAAACCAGATATTTATAGATATGGATAAACCAGATATTTATCATAACAACCAATAAAAATAGATATGGATAAACCAGATATTTATCATAACAACCAATCAGAATAGATATGGATAAACCAGATATTTATCATAACAACCAATCAGAATAGATATGGATAAACCAGATATTTATCATAACAACCAATCAAAGTAGATATGGATAAACCAGATATGTATAGATATAGATAAACCAGATAGTTACCATAAGGACCAATAATCTATTTTCTCTTTCAATAAATAACACACATATAAAATGAACCTTTAACTGTAGTTATTGACTATACTACGTCTATGTATTAATCATAATCCAATGGTTGAAAAGGCCTCCATATTTGGATGCTTTATGTGGTTCACACATAAAGTGCTGAAGAAAATGTAGATGTATGTATTGTATGTTGTAAGTCTTTGTATGCAGTGGTGTAAAGTACTTAAGTAAATGTACTTTAAAGTACTACTTAAGTCGTTTTTGGGGTATCTGTACTTTACTCTACTATTTATATTTTTGACAACTTTTACTTCACTACATTCCTAAATAAAATGATGTACTTTTTACTCCATAAATGTTCCCTGACACCCAAAAGTACTTGTTACATTTTGAATGCTTAGCAGGACAGAAAAATTGTCAAATTCACGCACTTATCAAGAGAACATCCCTGGTCATCCCTACTGCCTCTGATCTGGCGGACGCACTAAACACCAATGCTTAGTTTGTAAATCATATGTTAGTGTTGGAGTGTGACCCTGGCTATCCGTAAATAAATAAATAAGAAAATCGTTCCATCTGTTTGTTTAATATAAGGAATTTGAAATGATTTATACTTTTACTTTTGATACTTAAGTATATTTTAGCAATTACATTTACTTTCGATACTTAAGTAGATTTAAAACCAAATACTTTTAGACTTTTACTCAAGTAGTATTTTACTGGGTGACTTTCACTTTTACTTGAGTCATTTTCTATTAAGGTATCTTTACTCCAGTATGACAATCGGGTACTTTTTCCACCACTGTTTGTATGTTGTTTATGTCATGTGTAGCTTTAAAAAAAAATCTCTCTATATATGTTTT